AACAACAACAACCACAACAACAGGAGCAACAGCAACAGAAGCGACAACAACAACAGACTACTGAACACATTTGCAGTCGTTGTGGATTCGGCGTCTGGCATCCATTGACAAGGTTTCAAGCATCGAAGTCCTAAATCCTCGGCGGCAACGGTCGAAAGCCACATGTACATTGTTTCTTTCTCTTGATCACTGTCTGCTTATTGCTCTGGGTAGATGCACAATGGAAGGTATAGAATCCTTCGGATTTTGCGACTCATTCTACACACCAGGAGTTTACAGGTTTTACATCAAGCGTGTGAAGAGCATTGCGCGACCAACACGCCCACAATGCAAAAGTCGCAGGCAAGAGAAGGTGCTGTAAATGCCGTGCAATGCGCTCAGTTTTGTCCGAACCGCCCCAACGTTTGCACCTGTAAACTGTAAACCACTTCTTCGCAGAATTGCTCAACCCCTGGGGCGGCGTTAAGCACGGAGGCCGACGACGACGATGATGATAAGGATGATGATGGCCGTGAGTCGCAGCGGCTCGACGTAAACGGTCTACCTGGGAAAAGTCCGGCAACCATGGACACAGCAACAATCCGGATTGGGGGCACGAGACGGGTCGACTGTGATGTTGGCAGCCCTGCCGCAAACCATCAAACAAATTTGGAAAGATGTTGAGATCGTTTCGACGTGGCTTGTCTTGCGTAGAATATGATTCAACAGGTTATACAAGTTATACAGGTTGACACTCTTGGCGGTCTGCCAATCAATACTGATGAGGCTGGGGCCTCCATCATGGAACGAAGCAGCTTCCAGGTTCAAGCAGACTTTTCCACCACATCATGAATTGGCAATATCAGTACATCCAGAAACAAGGCAGCGTACAAATATCGGTTTACACCGCTCCCACTGTAAGGGTTGCGATCTGAAGCAGCTGGGATGGAGAATGATGCCGGCTTCGGACATTGGAAGTTCAATAGGTCGGGGTTGCGAGTTGGAAGCACTCGGAAGGCACAAAACCAACGATGCACGGCCCAAAGTCAAGCTTTGCGGTTTTCGGAGGCAAAATGATGCCGGTACCGCAATACAACGCCAGACCACACCACAGCCAACTTGAAGCATTCAACAGGACAATTGGCGCCATAACTCCTGTAGAATGGCCCACAACCTGCGCGATCGCTATCAAGGTTGCAAGCCTTGAGCCGGCTGAATCTCAACATTTATCCTTGCACCTCGCCTGGTACTCTTGAGCTCTGAGTGGCAAAGCAACATTTACCAGGGAGAAATATGTCAGAATTGCGGTGAAGCGGTTCACGACCCCGCGTGACCATTGCAAGCATTGCAGATGTGATTTTCAGAATTACCTTAAAGTGAATGGTCACACTGTAGCGGTTGCAAATCGAGCAGCCAAATCGTAGCGAAAGCTGGGTGTCATGCGCCTCTATTGATTCAAAGATATTCAAAGCACCGGAGCACCACATCCCATCTTCGTATCATTGTCATAGGGTCAAGCAGAGCACTCCGTTGAAAAACCCTTGGCAATACTCTCGGGAAAAATTGAGGTGGCACAAACCAAAGGGGTCATCATGTCAATGTGCTTTTTGCACCAGAAAGAGCGATCCTGCTCTCCTTCTCATCGGCCCACCACCAGGCCCAACAACTTCCACTAAATTCACGTTTTGAGCGCAGGTCTTCCGGAAGGTCACAGAACTCCTTGATTGCACAGTCGTATGTTGCAAGCTCTTGTAGGTAAAGGACAAGATGCCGCTTGTGGCTCTCAGGTAGTTGCCAGTGCAGAGTTCGCCAGCGGTGTCACCGTGAACAAGGACGTCCTGTACTGGGCCGACTGGATGTCGGGAGCTAAATACTGCCTCGCATCAGAAAGAGTCGCACGCAGTCTCACGATCTTCGGTCGACGGTCAACCTCAGAGGAACGGGCGCATTCTGCGAAGGAGCCCCTCTGGACTGGAGGAGCTCGTGCCTAGCCTTCAAGTGTAGGTTTGTGGAGGCGCAGCACGAGACAGGAGCCCATTGTGACAGGGCTGGCCTCGCCAGTCGATGTAGCTCTCGATGCTGGCAGCGGCATGGCCAGGGGCTCGTCAGGGCTCGCGAACGCAGCATGAGCAACCTTCACTACAGTGCCACTTCTGCTGATGTTCGTGCCACTTTGTCTCCACATGCAAGCAGTCATGTCAAAGCATGCGCTCAGTACGGTATTGGTGTTGTCTGCCTCGGGGTGCTGCATTCCTCTCCTCCAGATCTACTGGTCGGACGTGGGCCACGCCCGGACACAGAGGGCGCTTCTGGATGGGCGCGGCATCCAGGCAGAGACTGGCAGGGGCTTCGCATGCCCGCAACGCAACGATCACACGTCTCTCGATTTTGCTGCCATCGGAATGGGAATTACGTCTAGGACCCTAGGACTTGTAGGAGTCCAGCTGATCGGCGAGGCGCTGAACATGAGCTGGGCCATCATGAACACTTATGGCATGGCCATCGATGCCTCTGACAGGCCTCGGCTCATGGACACAAGACACGCAACTGCGAGTTGCAGTGCATGGCTGCATGGCCCTCCTGAGGAAACTTTACATGACCGACTTCGAGAAGACTGGCGACTTTACAGGGAGTGCCTCTGACTATGCAGGCCGGCCCTGACAAGAGTCTTAAGGAGTTCCGGTGGATTCTCAAGTTCAGGCCGCATCATCCGCACCAACTTGGACGGGAGTGATGCCGAGGCTTGTTCCCGGATATTGTTACATTGTCGCTTTGTCGAGAGTGGGTGCCAAAAATATTGTTACATCGTTGCGAAGACTCAGATGAGCAGAGCGACGGAGGGTTGCGGCATGTTGTGGCAGTCGTACTGCGCAACCCTTAGTCTCCGTCTAAGTGGCCGGGCGGTTTGAGCCTGCAGAGGTATTGGTCAGTGAACCGGGCATGAGCATGTCAGACGCCTGGAAAGGGTGACCCAGGCTGTGCTGTGCTGCTGAGAGCATCAGAGCCGAGGCCCTACGGCGTGGCCGTGGACCCGGAATATGCCCAGGTCTACTGGACCGACCGAAAGGCTGGCCGAATACAGCGGCTGACGCTGAAATGCCCAGCAGGCGTCCTGGAGGCACCCACCCCCTTTGACGCACCGTGTTCAATGCTGCAACGCAAAAGACTTCTGCTGGCAGGTGGCAAGCCGCATGAACAGCAGTAACATCAAGGCCACGCAAAGTACCGCCAGAAACCTCACCCAGCACTGCACACGAGCCTGCTGAATGTGTGCATGTCTGGACACAGGCTGAGTCTGAATTTGCAGCGGGATAGGGCTAGAGAGTCTTCTTCTTGAAGTAGACTTTATTGAGTGGAACCAGGTGTCCAAGGACGTTGTCAGTCAGACAAGGTAAATACAGGATGCACACCCTTTGCGGTATGGGCGATCATGCGGCATGAGGGCTCTCATGGCTTGTCATGAACAGCAAAGCCAGCGGCCAATTCCGTTCTGCGCTCAGGTGGCACACGGCACAGCGGACCATGGCAGTTCCATCCAGGTCCGGGGTTTAAGCCGGACTGCTACTTCTTCCGCGCCGGGTGGCAGGGACCGGACCGGAACCGGGACCTTGTCCGAGCTATTGAGAACTGGACGAACGATCGCGGGCACGATCCTTTTCAGACCGCGAGCATTTCGACGCAAGGAGGGAAAGGAATCTGACCCTTTCTCGGTTACAAGCTCATCCTTAGGAACCTCGAGGAAGTATGTGGCTTCTCGATCTCTCGGGACAAGTTTTTGTAGCGAACGTGTAAAGGAGAATCGGTCGCGGCGTTCGGAGAACGATCGGCTCGCCTTTCGGCCAATGCAAATCCAGAACGGGGACTTTTCCACTCGGCCACACAGTCGTCACAGTACAGTGCAAGAGATGGAGCTTTCACAGGGAATAGTTTGATCCCAACCGATTGTTTCCAGCGGATTTTGCTTTCATGGTCAACAACGATGATGTGGCCCCCTCTCTTGCAAAGCAGGTGCCGTGTCCAGAGGGTATGGGCCTTGCTGTCGGTGTGCATTTCCTTCAATTTCGTTGGATGCGGGGATTGCTCGGGTCCTCCCAGGCTACAATGGATCAATGACGTTGGCCTGCAACAACAACAAGTTCTCTCTGAATGCTGGGCCCCTGCCTCAGCAATGTCATGGTGTCTGGCACCATCGTCGTAAGATGTCGTAAGGCTACAGAGAGAGACACAGAGAGAGAAGCCATTTTGGCTCAAG